AATGAAACACTAAAAAGGGGGTGACAATCCAAGAAAAAAAAACTGTAAGTATAAGATTATACACAACTTTTTTCAGAATTTAAATTGCAGTATTTCCTTCAGCATAAACAGGGAATGTAGAGATAAGGGCATAATCTTTCTGTCCAGGATATACTTCCCACACATACTGGTTGCCATTCTAAAGCTGATCTTATGGCAACAGCACCTATTTTCTCAATATGTACAATGTGTAGACAAATGCATGCCTACGTGAATCTTCTGTATTAAATTCTCAATATAGTAAGATCAATAAAACTTTATGCAATAAACTGAAAAGGGAGAGGGTAGAGTGCAACTAAACTTTTATCATAAAGGTTTCTTTATGGAGACTTCACTGTACAGCCAAAATAGCTGCATACTAAAAAAGTAAACAGCTTCTTTACAACCTCATACGGCATAATCTTCTCATGCTTGAAAAAATGAAACTGTAATGTACATTACAGTTTCATTCAAAATAAAGGCCTCTCTCTTTGATCTATCAAAACATTTTTCTGTTTGACAGGATATTCTCTCATTATAGATCATTGTAATTACAGTCATCTCAGACTTAGATTGTTCAGCAAATTACTCATATCCTTTCCATCTGTGAATAGTTTTAGATCTTAGATTCATTTACTATCAGAAGTGCGATTAATTCTCAGAATGTGGGGGACTACTTCATTCATTCATATATTGTACTAATTCAGCTAGGGCCCTGTGATTTGCCTTTTGGGTGATGAAATCTGCTGGAAATGCACAATCCTACATGCTAAAATACTTTTCATGAACTTATGTGGAAGAGCTTTATAATAAACCAAGGAACAGATTTGTGTAATTTGAACACAATTCTGGACTAAATCCACAAGTGGTGTAAGTGAGTATAGCTCCATTGTCTTCAATAGAACTATGCTGATTCACACCAGTTGAAGACTGACCCCTTTGATAACTGTTACGTTCATGTGAATTTCAACAGTATACAGTATTCTTGGGCTAGTCCAGAACAAAACAAAAAGTATACCTGCGTGTATGTCTCTCTCTGCAGGTCCATACGTGCGGCAGGGCTATGAAGGAAAAGGGAAACCTGATGAAGAAGAACTGTGCTAAATCACAACAGTCTTGAGTATTTACACATTTCTGTCATCACATTAATTCAAGGTAGCATATTTCATTAATCTTATCCTTGTCTTTAGAATCGGATTATATGCAATCCAGCATTTTAAAAGCATTATCAAAGAAATGTTCATATTGTTTCTGAATGTAATTCTATAAACTGACTTGTGTGTTGATACAGTAGCTGAAAACCTACAAGTGAAATTTATTACGAACAGTAATAATGATGGGCTCAGATAGGGAATGAAAGTATTAGGATCAAATTTGATCACGAACTGCTTTTAATTATTGGAGATAAGCAGTGCAGGTGGGCTAAGGAGCAGAATATCAGGGTGAGCAGTCTAGGGACTCTTTATTTTTGTAAAAACCTTTCTGAATGAGAAGTGGGATCTACAAATGCTGATGCATAAAAACCCAGAGCCACCTCCTGAATGGTGCTAAGCCCAGCTGCTAATTTTGGGTACGCAACGCTTCACAGGATTGGGCCACCACAGACTCTCAGATGACATGACACGCAGACAGCCACGCTTCTACAGAGCTAAGCACTTGGAACTGCATGAGAAATGCAAACACAGTACCAAGTGGGATAAACCATTCTTTACTAAAAATGCAAAATTCCAAACTGTGTAAAAAGCTTATTGAGAGAGAGCGCAAGAGGTTTTTTTTTTTTTAAATGCAGTACATAATATTAAAAATATTAAAGTTAAATCCAAAAACCAATCCAGGATAAAGTGGAAACATGAAATAGAAAGAAGTTTTAATAATTCAAAAAGAGGAAAATATTTAGGAAAAAAAAGGTCTTAAATTCATGAACAGCCTCACAATTGACAATGTAGGGTAAAATTCTGTCTTCATGAACTCAATGGAGTTTTGCTTTTAGTCTCAGAAAGGCCAACTGCTGAGCATGATAGAGACTGAATTACCTAGAAGTGATCTCTCCAGGACAGATCAGAGCATATGGTAGGAGCGGTTTGGGAAACACTAAACACAGATGCCCATGCTGTGCTTATTCTATGGACAGAGAACCTCAACCTCGAGTTTGACACAATTACCATGAGTACTAAAATACAGTGATCTAAAATAAAGCAATAAATCAATAAAATTGCAAAACTCAGGGTCCAGTTCTTTGCTACCTTGCACTTGTTTAGTCATTTACACTTATGAACAGAGGGGGGAAATGCTACCAAATCCTAATGTGCACACTTTGCACAGATTTATATGACTACATAAGCTGCTAAGTAGCAAATAACCAGACTACATAATGGAAGCTTTCAAAGAATGACTCAAGTCTTTCTTACCTTCTAGATTTGCTCTGATTACAGCCATGGGCAGCCTGCCATCAGTGTAACGCCACTGGTCAACAGGCTAGCGCCAGATCCTGGCATGGTATACATTGGTATAATACTCTGTTCGAGTAAGTGAAGCCACACTGCAATTTAGGGCAGCAGCAGATGTGACCCCTAATGTAGACAGCTGAAGCCACTCTTTGTACCAGTGGATTGTTCCTTGATTGAAACTAGCATAAGATGCACCAGAGTAAATCATAGTTTATTGCAGCATACCCTGTCTACATTATGAGTTGCACCAGTGCAGCTACACAAATTGCTAGCACCAACGGCTGAAATTCACGCAAATCCTCGGTGCAGACAAGGCTTCAGAAGAAAAACGTCAAATTCACATGAAAATATGGAATTCATATAATAGTGCTACAAAAAGTACATTGTGTTTCTTTGCCTGTTATCTAATGTATTATCAGATGATTCAAATAAAGGAAGAACAGAGAACATAGTCCTGCTTTCATGAACCACAAATATGTAGGTAAGCTCTAGGCCACAGTATTTGTTTGAAGCGTTTATCATTGCTGACATATGGTTCTCCAGTAAGAACAAAACAGTCTCCTTTTACAATGGAGTTTTCCATACAGCAACCGAAGAAAAAATATTTGTTATCAACTCCTGGTTTAATGAAGAGTTCAGCAATGTAGACTACCTTATATTTTAAAATCAAGCCCCCTAGGTTATGCATGAGTTCCACTCCAGTGATCCAAAGTACAAATGTATCTGGATATGAACTTTTTTTATTATTACAGCACAGATAAAGGCTACAGCTAAGTATTTCAAAAATGGGGGCCTGAAGGTAGGCTTCTAAATCCATATTTAGGCACCTAAAAACATGGCTTGTTCTTTTTTAAAGTGTTAAGCACCCAGCAACTCCCCCTGAAGTCTGCTTTAAATTCCAGTGGGGGTTTCTGTTGAGTACATTATTTGGGTTTTGCTTGTGAGCAATGTTTGGAGCATATATTACACACAGGGAACTATGCAAAGCCATAGAGCTGTGAGAATTTGAGTAGTCATCTCAAGGCTATTGGCATGCATTCTCTTCAGTTTTGGGGGATAAGGCCTCATATAGTATTATCAGTCAGAGTTGTTATGGTGCTTTGCAAGTAAGCATTTTAATATCTGGTAGAAAACTTAATGGGCTAGATTCTCAGATGGTCTAAACTGATGTAGTTCCATTGACTTCAGGCTCTAAGGATATGGCTCAATTCTAAAAAAAGAGGTGAATTTAAGGATTCCACAGTTCAGAATGTCCCCTGGGGCAGTGAAACTCTGCACCATCCTTATTTTGTGTTCCAATATAAAAGCACAGTCTAGCCCTAAGATAGGTGTAGGCCAGTCAAGCCCTAATCTGAACCAAATTGTAGATTTAAATTACTAGACTGAAAAGAGATCTCTGATTATTGGTGTGGACTACAATGTAGTAATCTAATTCTAGACTGATATACACAAACTCATTTTACAGAAAGACCCATTCCATAAACAACATTATATATAAAGTTTATTGAAGAATTTGGCCTTCAAAACATATGGCATTGCTTAAAGGAGGAGGAGTTGGACAAATAAATAAAAAAATATATAAAAAAAAAGACTTTCTTCAGTTCACAAATAATTTTCTAGGATGGATATTTCCTTAATTTCCTCGTCACAACAACACACATAGTACCCATAGTTTTTGACAGGATCCGTATGTCAGAACAAGTTTACCAGGTCTGATCAATAATTCGGATTAATATTGATTCAGCATGTCCCAAACATTTGTCTTGGAGATTCAATAATTCACTCACAAACTCAAAGTTATTCAGTTTAAAGCAAAGTCTTGAGCTCTTACGTACAAGATATAAAAGCCACTGAAGTCAGCAGAGAGATTCCCATTGACTTCAACGTACTTGGAGTCAGGCCCCAAATCTCCAAAACTTCTTCAGGCATATTTATACAGTGTCCCTCAAAACATTTTGAGAGGAGGAATAATTTACTTCTCAACAAAAGCAAATGAAAAACATAAAACCCTGAAAAAAAAAGTTAAGGGAACTGTCAAATTTAGGGATAGCATTGCAGTTGATTGTAATGAGACAGAAGCTTTTCTAGAGTCACGTATCGTGGACTATGGAGTTATGGATGTCTCATTTTATAAAAGAGAATTGTTATATTCATGTTTTTCTAAAAAAGCACGAAAGGAACAAGTCTTAAATATTCAATAACTTTATATGTTTCAGTTAGGCCCTTAACAAGCATTCAAAAAAAAAAAAAGTCTTTCAATTGTTCTTTTCTTTAATGCTTAAGAGCCAGGTGCCAAATCTCCACTGAGATGAGTGGAAATGCCTCATTCCTGTCAAATATTTTCATAAATACAGTGGGTGAATTTAAACAGTTCATCCTGGTTTTAGAGGTCTGACCAATTCCAGTTATATTCCCTATATGTAAAACGAGGAACACAGTTGGAACTAGTCAGACCTCTAAAATCAGGGTGGACTCAAGTGCACCTGCTGTACTATATCAGGTTCCAGAACTCACATGTTTTCTTTATTTAGGAGAATGAGCCCAAATATTTGTTGTCTTTGTAAGCTATTCAGAGAAGACGAAAATGGGATCACTTCTAAGTAAGTAGTACTATAATTTTGCAGTCACATAATCCTACAACGTATGAAGGGATTTAGCCTCCTGACTGAAAAAGTCAAGAGGGCTAACTATATAATTTTATGCTGAATATTTACCCATGCATGTTGTCATCACGGCTGCACATATTGATCACCTGTTATTCATGCTGTTTCTTCACAGTAGATCAATTTCAATATATTCGCAGTGTCTTTAGGCTATGAGTAATAGGATTGTTTTAATTTGAACTGTTCAGGCATAGAGATCTTAGTCCAAGTTCACCCCTGGTGTAACCACTGAAGTCAATGGAGCTATACCTGGGATGAATTTAAAAACAGGATGTTGGGGGAGGAAGGGGTTAGTTTTTGTTTTTTTAAACTCAGCCTCACTGCCAGAGGTTGAAAAATTGTGCCTTATACTCTCAGTTCTCTCAGCTGGACAGGTTCTCCAGCCAATTTATGTTTCCCATGATGCCATAGATTCCTATGTACACTGCAGCTGCTCAGCAAGAGAGGAGACGGTGATGCTTCATAGCCAGGGAGCCCAACCCATAGAAGAGAATTGGAACATGACGCAACCGAACTACAGCTCACATGAAGTACCACAATGGCATTTCCAAATTGAAATCTTTCAGTCCAAAATTTCCAGTTTTTGATTTCTCAGTAAAGTCAAGTTTTTTTGTGGGGAAAAAAACAAACACCAACCAGCTCTCCTTAGCACTTTGCAAGACAAACAGATTTAAAAAGTGTACAAATAATACATGCGGCAAAGAGTCCTGTGGCACCTTATAGACTAACAGATGTATTGGAGCATAAGCTTTCATGGGTGAATACCCACTTTGTCAGATGCATGTAGTGGAAATTTCCAGAGGCAGGTATAAATATGCAAGCAAGAATCAGGCTAACGAGGTTATCATAACGAGGTTAGTTCAATCAGGGAGGATGAGGCCCTCTTCTAGCAGTTGAGGTGTGAACACCAAGGGAGGAGAAACTGCTTTTGTAGCTGGCTAGCCATTCACAGTCTTTGTTCAATTCTGAGCTGATGGTGTCAAATTTGCAAATGAACTGAAGCTCAGCAGTTTCTCTTTGAAGTCTGGTCCTGAAGTTTTTTGCTGCAGGATGGCTACCTTTAAATCTGCTATTGTGTGTCCAGGGAGGTTGAAGTACCCAAGTCCTACAGGTTTTTGTTTATTGCCATTCCTAGTATCTGATGTGTGTCCATTTATCTTTTTACATAGGGACTGTCCAGTTTGGCCAATGTACATAGCGGAGGGACATTGCTGGCACATGATGGCGTATATTACATTGGTGGATGTGCAGATGAATGAATCGGTGATGGTGTGGCTGATCTGGTTAGGTCCTGTGATGGTGTCGCTGGTGTAGATATGTGGACAGAGTTGGCATCGAGGTTTGTTGCATGGATTGGTTCCCGAGTTAGGTGAGGTGTGTAGGTGCTGGTGAGAATATGCTTCAGGTTGGCGGGTTGTCTGTGGGTGAGGACTGGCCTGCCTCCCAAGGCCTGTGAAAGTGAGGAATCGTTGTCCAGGATGGGTTGTAGATCACTGATGATGCATTGGAGAGGTTTTAGCTGAGGACTGTATGTGATGGCCAGTGGAGTTCTGTTGGTTTCTTTCTTGGGCTTGTCTTGCAGCAGGAGGCTTCTGGGTACACGTCTGGCTCTGTGTACCTATTTCCTTATTTCCTCGTGTGGGTATCGTAGTTTTGAGAATGCTTGGTGAAGATCTTGTAGGTGTTGGTCTCTGTCTGAGGGGTTGAAGCAAATGTGGTTGTACCTCAGTGCTTGGCTGTAGACAATGGATCGTGTGGTGTGTCCGGGATGGAAGTTGGAGGCATGAAGGTAGGCATAGCAGTCGGTGGGTTTTCAGTATAGGGTGGTGTTAACGTGACGGTCACTTCTTTGCACCGTGGTATCTAGAAAGTGGACTTCCTGTGTAGATTGGTCCAGGCTGAGGTTGATGGTGAGGTGGAAGCTATTGAAATCATGGTGGAATTCTTTCAGGGTTTCCTTCCCATGGCTCCAGATGATGAAGAGGTCATCAATGTAGCATAGGTAGAGAAGGGGCATGAGTGGACGAGAGCTGAGGAAGCGTTGTTCCAGGTCAGCCATAAAAATGTTAGCATATTGTGGGGCTATGAGGGTGCCCATAGCAGTGCCACTGGTCTGGAGGTATATATTGTCACCAAATTTGAAATAACTGTGCGTGACGATAAAGTCACAGAGCTCAGCAACCAGTTGTGCTGTGGCATCATCAGGGATACTGACAGTTTGTATTCCATCTGTGTGTGGGATGTTTGTGTAGGGAGCCTCTACATCCATAGTGGCTAGGACGGTATTTTCTGGAAGATCACCAATGCATTGTAGTTTTCTCAGGAAATCAGTGGTGTCACGGAGATAGCTGGGAGTGCTGGTGGCGTAGGGTCTGAGTAGAGAGTCCACATATCTGAACAGTCCTTCAGTGAGAGTGCCAATGCCCGAGATGATGGGGCGTCCAGGATTTCCGGGTTTGTGGATCTTGCATAGTAGATAGAATAACCCCAGTCAGGGCTCTAAGGGTATGTTGATTTATTCCTGTGTTAATGTAGGGAGTGTCCTGAGTAGATGGTGCAGTTTCTTAGTGTATTCCTCAGTGGGATCTGAGGAAAGTGGCCTGTAGAATTTGGTATTGGAGAGTTGTCTGGCAGCCTTCTTTTGGTAGTCAGACCTGTTCATGATGACAACAGCACCTCCTTTATCAGCCTCTTTGATTATAATGTCAGGGTTGTTCCTGAGGCTGTGGATGGCGTTGCGTTCTGCATGACTTAGGTTATGAGGCAAGTGATGTTGTTTTTCCACCATTTCTGCCTGTCCAGTCAGCGGAAGCATCCTATGTATAGGTCCAGACGGTCATTTTGAACCTCAGAAGAAGTCCATGGGGAGTTCTTCTTCTTGTGCTGTTGCTGGGAGGGTATCAGTGTGCTGTTCAGTGTTATCTTGAAAGTATTCTTTGAATCGGAGATGGCGAAAGTAGGCTTCCAGACCACCACAGAATAATACATGAGCATCCAAAACAACCTCACTGAGCCAGTAGTCTCACTATTACTAGTAATAGTATTTATTTTTTATTGCAGTAGCATATAGAAACACCAAGCAAGATTGGGACCCCATTGTGAAAGACACTGTATAAACACAGTGAGAGATTGTAGGCTCATCGGGGCAGGGACTCTCTAAATATAAAAAACAGAAAAAGGTTGGGAGGGAAAACAAATCCAGCGATTTGCCCAAGGTCACACAGCTGGTCAGTGGCAGAGTGGGGAATAGAAGCCATGTCTCCTGACTCCCAGTCCCAGGCCTTCTGCAGTGCACCATGGTCCCTTAAGTACTTTTTCTTTTCTAGTTGTGCAGTATACATTGCATAGTGACGACATGATCAGTTCTTCTCCCTCTGCATATGGATTCTCACTGCAGAAGATCCTACTGATACAACTTCTGTGACTAAGTGGGGTTATAGTCACAAAAGTGGGGGGGAAATCTTCATAGCCCATACCCATTTTCCCCCTCAGTGACTTCCATATATTTCCTCAGTTTACAGTAAAACATCATCTTCCCTAAGTGTTAACTTACCCATGGAGAGTAACTAAAATCAGGCTGTGTTTGTTCTGCTTCACAGATTAACACTAGAGGCAAATATTCAGAAATGGAAATAAAATGGCAGTTTTGTTGGCGCTCAGGGAGACAGACAAGTATGTCACTTATTCTGTATAAGAGTGACAATGCTGACAACAGTAAAAATGTGTCTGTGTCAGTAACAGCAGATATGACTCAGAAGCAGCTCTGTCAACGAATAAGCATTCACAGGCGCAAGATGCAACTTTTGCAGAGCCACCTCTCTTGCCATAACCACACACTTCGAGTATTTATGTAAAGAGGAGGTCAGTTAAGCATGAGAAAAGCCCTACTTGAACAAGAACGAACTGTGTGACCAGAAATTACAGAAGAGCTGAGACCACAGTTCGGTGGTTGCAAAATTTCTACCAAACATAGGAGTTAAACTATCCAGAAATGTGCTGAGTAACTGACATTCATTTTTCTGCCCAGAAAAGATTGGCTTGCTATAACAAACTGTAATACACGACAGTGGTGTCCTTCTTAGAATTATGTTGAAACAAACCTAAGGAATCACCACAAACTAGACTACAAAACCAGCAAACAGCTGCTGTGCAGAGCAGGCTTACAAATCAGTCATTAGTACCCACTATCCACAAACCAAGACTGCTTTTAATCAAATATGGATTATTCTTGAACTTTATGGTAATTAAGTGGCTTTAGTTGGGATTCAGAAACTGATGCCAAAATGGAAGGATCAAGGGAGAATGAAAACTCCCTCTCCAGTTTGATTAGAGCCTAATGAATTACAATGCATTTTTTCTCCAATCTCTTACATGAACATTTAGCATAGGCATTTCTTTCAAGTTACCAGTGGTAGGATACTAAAAATTATAAGACCCGGAGACACAGGTGGTATAAAGTTATGCTGATTTATACCAGTGCAGGATCTGGCCCTTATCAGTTTATTTTTTTTCAAGCTGTTTAGTTCTCTCTGATGCCTCTGTCTTTCACAGAACTAAGAGTTAAGAGAATAAATGGAAGACCCCCTAGAAACCCAGGAAATTGCCACGTAAGAATAACGAGCATAAAAGAAAAACAATCCATTGTTAGTCACCTCTAAGAATCCTCTTGCTTAGTAATACTGTGATTAATTTTAAATTTCAAACAAGTAGATGAATGAAATGGATTGAGTGTCTTTTGCAGTCAAGATTTTATTAGTCTTTCCATCATTTATCAGCTACAATAGAACCTCTGAGTTATGAGCACCAGTGTTATGAACTGACCATCAACCACACACCTCATTTGGAACTGGAAGTATGCAATCAGGCAGCAGCAGAGACAACAAAAGCAATACAATACAGCACTGTGTTAAATGTAAACTACTAAAAAAAATAAAGAGAAAGTTTAAAAACATTTTTTGACAAGGTAAGGAAACTGTCATTTAAACTAAGATGGTTAAAATCAGCATTGTTCTTCTCCATCGTAAAGTTTCAAAGCTGTGTTAAGTTAATGTTCAGTCGTAAACTTTTGAAATAACCACAATCTCCATTCCCAAGGCGTTCATAATACTGAGGTTCTACTGCATAACGTTCAGAGCTCAACCTCGCAGCTAATGATAAATGTGGAAGGTGTTAGTGGAGAAGAAATTGTTTTGTTATCATACTCAGGGACTTTAATAGTACCACCTAACATTGCAGTGGCACCTGAAGTCCTGAACTACAGCAGGGTCTCTAGACACAAAGCAACCTTACATAATCACCCCTGCCTGGGAGAGCTGACAGTCTGAACTGTTAATGCTTTCTTTAGTCTTCTCCCATTCTGCAGTACTGTACTGCACTGCCTACACACACAATTTCCATTGACTTCAAAGGGGGTCGTATGGGTGTAATTTAGTGCAGAACTGGGTCCATAGTTATTGCGAGTTATCTTTTCTTCAAAGCTGTAGGCATGAGATCTGAAACACCCAAAAATGAACTTGGGGAGAGCAAAATGCATATAGATTCACTGAATTAGGCGACTGTATTTTAGATAATGGAATTTAGCTTTATTTTTAAACAGAGCATCAGTCACACAGTTAACTACAACTCTAATCCCACAATAACCTTTCCCCCTTTTGCAAAGAGTGTCATTGGAGGAAGTGCTACAGTGGTCCCAATCTTTTGAAACGCTGATGACTACTAAATGTAAGTAGTTGTATGTTTTCAATCCAGCAGAGTTAATTTACCAGCAGCTATCTAATGCTTTTTTAGAAATGTGTGGATAGGGAGAGCTTATGCGATACATTGGAATATCTCCATTCACTGTGTTGTATGGTTACTGACCTCCATTAAAGAGGAAAGCAAATGAAAAATTTTAATGCCAAATCACTCACCACTAATGCCCTTGATGCCCATTGCAATATAATTAGTCACTATGTATCCTGAGCAGGGCTGGCTCTAGGATTTTTCCCGCCCCAAGCAAAAAAAAATTTTGGCTTCCCCCGCTTTTTTTTTTTGTGGCCCCCCTGCCCAAACTGCACCCCTTACCAACCCCTTCCCCAAATCCCCGGCCCTGCCTCCTCCCCGAGGCATGCTGCATTTCCCCCCCGCCCATTGCTTCCTGTGGCTCCCCCCTGCAACCCGCACCCTAGCTCACCTCTGCTCCCCTGAACATGCCGCCACTCCGCTTCTCCCCCCTCCCTCTCAGGCAAAGGAGAGGCAGCGCGTTCAGGGGAGCAGACAGAGCGGATGTGAGGGAGGGTGGGGAGGGAGCACAGGAAGTAACGGGGGGTGGGTAGAGGAACCGCTCCCCATCCCAGCTCACCTCTGCTCCACCACTGCTGCCTCCCCAGAGCGTGCTGCCGCTTTGCTTCTCCTCCCTCCCCCCCCAGGCTTGCAGCATGAAACAGCTGTTTCGCGGAGAAGTGAAGCAGCGGCGGCATGCTCAGGGGAGCAGGCGGAGGCGAGCTGGGGCACATTCCTTGTGGCAGCATGGCCGGCGCCAGAATGCCACCCCTAGAAATGTGCAGCCCTAAGCACCTGCTTGTTTTGCTGGTGCCTAGAGCCAGCCCTGCTTCTGAGAGATAAGGTAGGTGAGGTAATATCTTTTATTGGACCAATTTCTGTTGGGGAAGGGACACGTTTTTGAGCTTCACAGAGCTCTTCCTCAGGCCTGGAGAATTAAATACAAACTGGGACAGACCAATAACCATAAGGGATTCACACATGCTGTAGAAGACCACTTAAAATGAAGTGGGCCATTAAGGGTTAGCAGGCACTAAGGGGGTGTTACAAATTGTTGTAATAAGCCATAAATCCAGCATGTGTGTTAAGTCAATGGTTTTTAAGTGTTCAGCAAAGTTATGAATTTATGTTTCTAGGATCATCTTTTAAAGGTGAAGATGAGGATTAAGAGGTCAGACATGGAGTGATCGCTTTGTAAGAAGTGTTCACCCACGGGTTATAGGGCATTTTTGTCATATTTTTGGTGACAGTTCATTCAAGAGCGTATTGATTGTCTGGTTTCACCCCCGTAGTTGTTTTGGGACATCTGATGTGCTAGTTGAGGTGTACCATGGGTTGACAGAGGCATGTGATATAGGAGCCATGGATCTTGAAAGGTGTGTTCTGTGGAGTATTGATCATTGTAGCAGTGGAGATATGTTTGCAGGTTTGCACTTGTTATTATGGCAAGATATGATGCCGTTTGAGCTGGTGTGTCCTGGTCTGTGGGAAGCTTCCTTCTGATAATGATCTTGGTGAGGTTGGGAGCTTGTTTGAAAGCCAGAAGAGGGGGTTTGGGAAAGATTTTTCAGGATGTGGTCCCCTCAAGTATGGGTTGTAGTTTAATGATATCCCATGTGGGTTCCAGTGTGAGGTGGTAGGTGAAAACTAGGGGTGTAAGTTCAGTGGTTTGGGTTTTTTTCCCTGTATTGAAGCAGGTTCTCCCAAGGTATTTGGGTGACCCATTACATGATGTGATCTATTTTTCTGGTGGCATGTCCTTGTTTGGTGAAGGCATTTATGTGCATATCACGCAGTTTCTCCTCTGAGCAAATTCTGTGGTAACTGAGTACCTGGCTGTAGATACCAGACTACTTGCTGTGTTCAGGGTGGTTGCTGGATCCAGGAGTTTCTTGTATATAGTCATCTGTAGGGCTGATCATGGTGTCCAGGAAGTTGGTGCTAGTATGGGAGTGTTCAAGAGAGTTTGATGGATTGGCAGTGGTGCTTGAAATTCTGGAGGAAATCTATACGTAAAACTATAAATTTTGTACCATCTGCAAACTTTGCCACCTCACTGTTCACCTCTTTTTCCAGATCATTTATGAATACATTGAAAAGCAAAAAAAAAAAAAAAAAAACCAATCAAGGGCCAGGTTGTGCTATAAAAGCACAGCCTTTAGTGGGGGCAATATAGAGTATTACTGTGCAAGGGAAGCTCTGGAATGCACTGTGCTATAGAGAGGCAACTTGAAATATCAGAAATCACACACAAGCAGCATTACTGCTTGTAACCACACCACCAGCCTGTGGCATGCTGACATCTCTTGCAGAAACCAGAAAACTCTGTGATCTGCACCACTGGAGAAATTTGCTTTTAGAACTAGAGCGCTATGAAACACTCGCAAAATGTAGATTTTGCCATTGATGAAATATCTCCACATTGCTCTCAGGTTCCTGCAAAGGGCCAAGTATACGAACCGTGAGAAACTTCATTTGAAGTCAATGGAGCTGCAACTGCTTATCCCAGAGCTATGTTGGTCTTAAAGTATTTGCCTACACTAGGTTTTCCTGGAAAATATTTCTCACTATTGCTGACAAAGGTGCTACTCAGCAAGTGGTAACAGTGGTTGAAACCTCAACATTTTCATGGCTGCAGCCATTTTAGCCACTGCATCATCACGTGCTGCTCAGAGCAGGTGTAAATGACATGGTGTTAAATTCTTGAACCTGCTAGTTCTTTAAGGTATAGCGTACTAAGGCTTCCAACAATTGCTACCACCAGTGAAGCCAAAAATCAGTGGGAGTCGGGATGTTTGGACAAAGTACAGAAGTCCCTCGTTATAATGCCTTTGCAATAGCAAGCCTTGAGCTATAGCGAACATGGTCCCTGGATCCCACTCACCCTCCCCACCATGGCCCTGGAAGCTCTGTCTCCCTCCACCCCTTTCGCTAGAACGAACCCCTGACTATGCTGAACAAAAGGCTTGGATCCCCAGGGTTCATTATAGCAAAGGTGTACTGGTATACATTAAGGGTAGAGAACACAATTTGCAAAACCTTTTATCTGCTGGAGAGCACACTGACAGCTTTCTTAGTTACAAGGATGGCAGCAACAAAAGTCACCTTTCCTTTTGATGACAGGGAAAAAAAATGGAAAATAAAAAATAAAAGCCTTCCTTTTTTCCAGTTAGACCATGATTTTTTGATGTTTAGAAGTTTTTCACTCTGATGTAGAGCTGAATTTTTAAATTAATTATCAGCCTTAAAACATGCATATTTGTTGTGTGGTTTTTAAACCATAGGAAGAGGAAATTTTTTCTTTGATATTCTGCTCTTTCTGAACATGTGCAGCTCTCACTGATGTTAAGGGAGTTCTGCGCATGTACAAAACGAAGAATACTGAAGTCTGAAACTTTTATATGTCACATTGAGAGGCCAGTTATCCCCTAAATATTCTTTTAAAACCATTCTATTCACAGTCTCACATTTTATGTAAATATAAAACAAAAAGGGCCAGAAGATTTCCTTACTTTTTTAAAGTAGTCCATAGGTGCTGGAATTAACAATGCTGCAGCAGCCCCTGGACTGAAGTGGTTTCCATTATATACAGACGCTCCCCAGGTTACGCAAGACCTGACTTATGCAAATTCGCACTTACGGAAAAAGTTCCATAAGCCAGAAATAGGATTTTCGAGTTGCTGAAAACATTCCGTAACGTACAGGTATACATTTCCTACTTACACAAAATTCGAGTTACACAATTGTTCCATTCCGGAAAGCCTTGTGTAAGTCGGGGGGCATCTGTACAGGGTTTACAGTTTGGTTCAATGGCTCTCAGCACCCCCACTATAAAAACTGTTCCAGCACCCCTGAAGTAGTCTCAGATACTCATGGTCAGAATGGGTAGCACCTTATCCCATGAGTAGCCCCATTGTCTTCTGTAAGATTTCTTGTGGAGTGAGGAACTATTCAACATGAGAAAAAGTACCAAAACTGGTCTATAATCCTTATCTAGTCATTTTTCACTCAGAGCTAAGCAAAATCTGTTTGACAATTATCTTCCTAAATGCTATCATTTATAGTTTATAAAGTTTGACTTCTGAAATATTTTCAGATGGACCTATAATCTACAAGAGCTACCTGAAGACAGAATACAGTGATGAGAACATGGAATTCTGGCTTGCATGTGAAACTTACAAGAAGATTGAATCACGGAGGAAAAGAATTTCTGTGGCCAGGAAAATTTTTAAAAATTACATTCAGCCCCAGGCGCCTAAAGAGGTGAATTAACATTGCAAGAACTGCTCCATCCCTCCCTCACACGTGTGCGCACACCCCTGTTTATATTAAAAACATGCACGTGGTATCTGTTGAAACTGAAAGCTTGAAAAATGCAGCAATAAATAATTGGCAGTGTCACTCACTGTACAAAGTAGTGTAAGATGTTTATTTGATTAATCATCTTCACAGCACCTCTGTGAAGCAGGTAATTAAGTATTTTTAACCTCATTTCAGATAAGAAACTGAGACAGATAGGTAAAATTCTTTGCCCCAGGCCACAGAGGGAGTCAGTGCCAGAACAGAGTCTAGAACTAAAGTCCTGAGGTTTTTTCCATTCCTTTAGAGGATTGTAGAAAGCCTGTTGATGCCAACGGAGTCTTTCCAAACACCAGTAGACTTTGAACGTGACCCTTGCTTAGTCCAGTCTTTCCATAAGTACCTGGAAATTAAGTGAGATCTCTACCCAGTTCCATCCCTTTTAAGAGATGGCAGAAGCATGCTAAAAGACCATCAAGTTCCCAGAAGCACTGGAGAAGTAAGAAAAATGGGAGTAATTCATCCCAAATGGTTAAGCTACTTCAATAAATCAATCCTTAATAATCCTCTAATAAAAACATGGACAAATTTTCAGAAAAACAGACCAGATTTGGCTGTATGAACAGGGATTAATATTACAGTGTGGTTCTTTTCTGTTAAAACACTATATAAACATCACACCCAGCAGATCATTTCTAGGTGTCTTAAGAATCATTATCTTCTCACTTCACTGACAAAAATCAAATTTAATCTACTTTTTACTCATTACCACTGCAGGTCCAACACAGCGCGCTAGATTTTTTTCTGGCTCATGCATCAGCAAGAGAATTATTAACTAAATTCCAAATGCACAACTCAAATTGCTGGAGATGTGAGGGCTCGAAAGAACCCAGTTTGATTCTAAGGCCTTGGCTACACTTACAAGTTAGAGCACATTAAAATCAGCCCCAGGCATCTTAACTCCTGAGGTGTCCACACTGGCAAGGCACGTAGAGCTCCTGGACTCTGCAACTGGAGCGCTCCTGGTAATCCACCTCCATGAGAAGTATAAAGCTCGCTGCGCCCCGGCTTAAATGCCCACGTGTCAGTGTGGACAACATGTTGCATTACTGCGCTGTGATTGGCCTCTGGAAACGTCCCATAATCCCTTGAAGTCAAGTGGCCACTCTTCTCGTTGTTTTGAACTCAGCTGCAGGCATGCGGATATCCCCTTTCAAAGCTCAGTTTCTGACAGCCGGCATGCTTCTCTGCTCCAGGACAAAGCAAACCATTACTGAGAAATGGTCCTGCTGCAAAGGCAGGCATTTGTGTGTGTGTGTGTGTGTGTGTGTGTGTGTGTGTGAGAGAGAGAGAGAGAAAGAGAGACCAGGGGCGGGATCTGCTGCTGTCTGAACTTACAAGACAGCATGCTGACACACTCTCAGGCCCCCAAAACACAGTCTGTCCCCCCCACATACACACAACACATTCCCTGTCACACTCCACCACCCCCTTCCGGATTTGAAAAGCACGCTGCAGCCACTTGCACCCTGGGATAGCTACCACAATGCACTGCTCTCTGTGGCATTGCAAGAGCTGCTAATGTGGCCACGCCACTGCACTTGCAGCTGACAGTGTGAACACACGGCAGTGCTTTCCCTGCTGCGGTCTCCAAAGGTTGGTTTAACTGCCAGTGCTCTACATCTGCAAGTGTAGCCATGCCCTCAGATGCCAGGATAAGGTTGGTGTAGGGTGACGGTTTACAGCTTTGATTAAGAAACAACAATATGGTCAGCCCTGCAAGTTAAAAATTCTTGAGACTGGTTCAAAACTTCATGGGATAATTTTAAAAATTATGAGGCGTTTGAGGGGTTTTTTGTTTTTAGGATTTGGGGGTGGGGGGAATTGATTGGCCAGCCTGCTGTTTTTTCATTTGAGCTTTTATAGGAAACTCAATCACAAATGTACAAAAAAAATACACATTCTCAGAGATGGATAACCTCCCATTTGCTGATCAGTGTTGCCAGCCTCAAGCATTGAATAATCATGAGTCAGGTCTCAAAATCATGAGATCAGCATAAAAAATTTTAAATAAATTGTGAATTCTTCATTTGCCTTCTGGGTGAGTCTTTGGGATCACGCTTGCTTCCTGTTTTCAAGTTTTTCTCAACAAACATGAGGGCTTGAAACTTTTTAAATGGAAGCTGATGGTGATCTCAACATAGTCTGTATTCAAAAAACAAACAAAAAAAAATGCAATAGTATTCAGGAAGGAGTAGATTGCACCTAAAAAATACCATTGATACAGCAAGGTCTCCACACATCAACGGTTACACATTAATCCACACGCCTCCAGTTCTTTCAGTCTCTAATAAATGCAACTTAATAGAGCAAATCTAACTTACAAAATGTTTTGTTGAACTGCAATTGCCTTGGTCAATCTCCTATATCATGGTGAGATTCAACTCTTATTTGCAGTTTACCTTTCTGATGGAAAGGTACACAGCACCAGTACATTAAGGTCTTAGACATCCACAAATCTTCCACTCATCCACTTCAAATCCCCATATGACTCCTGAGTCTTACACAATAACCCATTTCCTAAACAGGATTGACGTACAGTCTCTGTTGTACAATATACTGTGACTTCAGTAGCCTGATTTTCAAAAGTGATGAGCACCCAATGGCACCCACTGATTTCAGTTGGTCAGAACATCTGAAAAACAGGCCTTCCATTTAGATATATAAATAAAGATATAGGAACCTAACTAAGTGGGGGGGAAGTGAACACTTTTATACCAAGATTTTTAAATACTTTAGATTTTTATTTTTCTTAATAACTTTACTCCTGTAGCTCCTTTTCAACATACAAACATGGTACCAAAGTTGATCATATGGATGCAAGGCATAGACTGCAGCCTACCAAGCTTCATCTTTGCAGTGCCCTATTTTTGTACTCTGTATTTTTGTTGTAACTTTCTTTAATGTTGTTTTATTTTTCAGATTAACATTGATAGTCCTGCAAGGGAAGCTATTATCAGGAATATTCAAGATCCAACTCAGTCCTGTTTTGACGAAGCTCAGAAAATAGTATACATGCACATGGAAAGGGATTCATATCCCAGATTTCTTGGATCAGAAATCTATCAGAAACTGAAACACAGGCCTTCAGATTGACAGCAATGACTCATTAATACATTAAAGAGAGACACTAAGGATTTAGCAGAAGAGACTTCCTTCTGGTTTATTAATGTTTTCAAATGGTAAAAGAAGAAGAACAGAAGAAATCAGCCAATGGATGAATTTGCCTTACAAAGAATGGTAGTTTGTTCTTATGCGGATATTAGAGCTGAACAGAAAATACTTTCCACCTTCCGCCCTGGTGGAAAATTTCAGCTTTGTCAAAAAATTGAAAGCCACTTTTAGTTCACCGCAGTCTGTCTGGAATTTAAAAAGTCATTACGGGAAAGAACCTATGACCCCACTCACTTATCACAATCCATGGGAAAATTAGCCTCTTGTCCTTCTCCTACCAGTCGGGGAAGACTATTTCCACACCCTCAACATCCACCACTATCCAAGAGAAGCCACCATCCATGTTAGAAATAAAAATGCTGAGGTTTGGAATGGTAGTTACTGCACCGTATTGTAAACTCTGTAATTCACAAGCTAAAATTCAGCGCATTGCCCAGTTAATCAACTAAACAGTCTCAAGTGTAAAGAGAAACACATGCATATTACACAAAAAATACATTAGTTTGCAGAAGGCTCCAAGGATAGTTGTAATTGTATCCAGGTGTATTTAAGCAACTGTGCATTTGGTGCCCAAATGCGCTTGGATTAATAAAGTGAGATACAAAGCAGCTTGTTAAACCTTAAAGGAGAGATATGGAATGCTTTTGTTTTCTAAGTCATGTTGGTAACAGCTTCATAAATCTGGCTAGCCAGGTGCAGATGGTAGAAAATAAACACCTAGATTAGTTCTGCATGACTTGTGTTTTCACAGCACCATACGACATTTATTATGGATAGCCCTATATTTCATGCCACTCACATTTTGGCAGATTCACCTGGTCTGCCTGTTCACTGCACTGTTGAAAGTGTAGCTTTTGCCCCTTCATAATTAGATTGTTGTGTGAGGGCCTGATGGTGACGTAAACAAACGTATCCAAATGAAAAACGTTTCTTGCAAATCTTTCATATATAAAGTCTAGAGGGGAAACAATGGACTTCTGTGAACTGTCCATTAAAGGACTAGGGCATGCTGTTAGTTTGGATAAACAGAATAAAAATCCTTCTCTTGGGTAATGGATTGGATTAGTGAGAAGTTGCGCTACCCCCAATTATAAAATAAGATACGAGTTTTCAGCGGAGTGTAACACGTTCTAATGTTTAAACTAATTATAAGCTCTCACACACACACTAAATCATAAGTGATTCTGTTGTATAACTAAAGCTTTTCGAGTCTCTTTTAAATCAATATTTTCCAATATAAAACATCAGGCTGTGATCATGTCCAATCTGACAAACTAAGCACTGGTGATCTGTATGCATTTGGGAGATCTCCAACAGAAGCCCAGTGCTACAGGGAGAGTTGCTGATGTTGTAGGTGTCCTTCTCCATCAGTACCGACCTAATGCCCCAGCACTGTATTGAGGCATATTGTGTTGTTGAGGTCCCAGCATTCAGAGCAAATGTAACCCCCTTAGTTTGCAAAGGCTTTGTAGAGATCCCAAGACATGCACTGCACGAACAGGAATGATAAGTGTGTCTCCTGGACAAATTCCAGTGTTGGTAAATTACTTTCAGCCTACACACATTCTCATGCAAATAGGTGTGGCATTACCACCCCCCTTGTGTCCGGGTGGTGCATAGTGGTTGCAGTGGCACATCTTCCGTGTTATCTCTTAGCTGTCTCTTCTACTTGACTGTTTCTCCTCCTGTATGACATGCTGTAAGATCCATCCTGCCTTCACTGTATTGGGTATTCCATACTTAATAGCCCATAGCCATTATCATAGGTCTGTCATTCTCTGGATACTTCCCCTGCTTCCCCAACTCCATCTTTGATATCTGTAAATCAGAGGCCCTGCTCAGCATTTTATTGAGAGAGCCTGTCTGCTTCCTTTTCACTGTTAGAAATTACTCTGTATCTGCCATGTGTCCTCAGCTGCTGCTAGTCCAGCTCCTTTTGGCCTCTGCTCAGGCTGGTTTTTAGTGACTGTGAGAGCTTCCTCTACAGCAGATGGCTTTCAGTAGCTCCCTAGCCCTCTCCTTCTTGTGGGTTAGTCTGAAACTATCTTTTTGTTAATAAAACCATGCTCCAAGAGGGAGGACTTGCTGATCTTAGGTATCGCTTTTGGTTTGAAGTGGGTATGGACCAGTTTACGTTTTAGGGAGATCACCTACATTGATTGCCTCCAAGTTCATGGTACAAGGAGCACACTACCAAGTTTCTGAAAGGGCTTAATGTACCATAACTGATACCCATAGTGGGGTTGCTTACAGTAGTGCAGTGAGGCTGGGGCCATTCACAATGCAACATTCCCCACACTTAGGAAAGAAAATGGTCCATAGGGAGGACTATGACAAATTTCAGTTAATAATCAGCATTATTTTTTGGCCTAAAACATGTTCATCTTATGGTTATTTTACTCAAGATACATTTAAAATTCCTCTTTCTAGAATGAAACTTTAGGGTTTGTCTATTTAATATTCGAGTGCAGAGACTCTTCTGTCTGTCGAGAAACGACTAAAGGTTTCAGAGTTTGTTTCTTTTCTCTATTAAACAGCTTAGTCCTATTAACTGGAAACATGGCAATTGATTTCTCTCTGGATTCCCTTTCCTCATTAGTGGATGAATAATCACAATGCTTTTCATCAGGTCATATGGTTCATAACAACAGTAACTAATGGTAGCAAGAACAAACCACTGATCTCATGCATTTATCATTGTCAGTAATAGCACTTGAATAGCTAGTTTAGATGTACTTTCCGTTTGCGTACAGCATTCAGAAGTGTATGTCCACATTAGTCATTATCAGTTTAAGGACTACTGTTAAGAAAGAAAATGAAATCTAAAAACCTGTAACCTTAGTAGTCAATTCTCCCTCTTTATTCTTCAACTGTTTACTTAACAGGTAAGAACAAAAGTAAAAGATTTGAAGTGATAAATATGGAAAATATTCAAACACAATGTAAGAGATTAATAAGTATGTCAAGTTAAATTCAGGTCACCCAACCAGCTAAATGGATGCTGTCAAGATTAAATAGTTGAAAAATCCTTCTCTCTGATACCAGTTAACACAGAAAATTAGTAAATGCTAAACTAAAAGCATTAACAATCAAGTTGACATTTATCCTCCTTATTTAGGTGGCACTTTTTGCCAGGCAGCTGAAAAGAGCTGTCGTCCTGTTTTCTGAGTGTTCACCCTTAAATAGAGAACAGTTTCCCTGTCTGTTGCAAGGGCAACTGTGACATAGCCACCATTTTGTGCTCCTCTCCAATGTAGAATGTTATTGAGCAAGTCTATGAAGCCTTAGCAGGCACAGACGCAGCAAGCTGATCATGCAGTTAATTAGGTGTTGATTGTTTCTCGCTGACCTACCATACATTAAGCAGTACAGTTCATTAACACAGTGCCACCCTCGCAGAGCAATGTTAAATATACCGTAGCTATTTTCTTTTTTAAAAATAATGAGAACATTTCCATTTGGGGAAATCTCATCATTAACCTAACTTTCAGGCCTAAATGAAAATTCTATCACTTATTCCTCCTCTTTAAAGTGACGTCTTTAGTTTAGGCCTCTTTCCTCCTCTTCAGAGAAACAATCACTGGAAAAGAACAAACAAACCCAAAATGAAATTAATAATTTCAACTGGCAAAATACAGACACTGGGAAGAAAAGAAAGAAGCAGAGATAAAATACTGATCATCCCTTTAATATTGCATGCAGTTTTCATCAGCTCTGTATTCACAGTAGGTGACTAGGTGCTGATAAATGGGGGGTAGCAAACAGATGGCAACACAGGTCAAAGAGATGCCAAATAAAGAATTGCTTAGAGCAGTAGCTGAAGTTGGCAAGAACACACTTGCAAGGCTAGTACAGACAGATTTTAAAAAACAGTGCTAACGGATGATAAAGTAGAAACTAGCAGTTCTTTCTAATATGCTTCTGGAACATCAAAAGCCTTCACAGAACAAACAGCCTTTTCTCTCATGTATTTCCAAATAGGTTTATATTTTCATATTAACTGTGAATATTTAGTTCTTCTTTTTGAAGTCCAGGACACTGTGATCAGTTTATTACTAGGGTCAGTAAGAAATGATTATGCTGCACTTAATGCCCTAGACAGAGGCTTTATACATTTGAATAAATATTATGGACAGAGCTGTTCTGTAATTAACTAGACAGACAGGAACATTTTGGAATCCACAGCCTTGGAGTGCAGGAAAACCGTTGTATCATTCCCTGTAGCGCTAGGGATATAGTACTGTCACACAGCAATTGTGGATGTCCTTTGAAGTGTCACAGCTGCATCATATTTGGTTGAGTGCTGAACAGACACAGGAAAAAAGGAACTGGGTGAAGTCTCTGACAACCAGAAGAGAAAATTTTGTTGCCCTACTTCAGCCACATCTTCAACAGGCTGTGGATTTTGGTCTCATCCAGGCACAGACTGCATCATCCTGTGTGTTTGTATACAGCCAAGCACAATGGAATCTCAATCCGGGATCCCCTTAATATATAATAATTAATAGTTAAAGATGGCCTGACTCATGATAGTCACTTGAATTTTTGAGTGTGGCCTCTGCAGATTCACCTTGTGGAATAAACCCTCTTGTTCTACTGCACTTTGGGATAGTTCTGAAAAGTGTGATCCACGCTGGGCACTGCAAGTGTTCACTCAAAGCACTGAATGTCTGTCTATAATTCTGCAGGATTACAGAAGGGCCATGTAGTCCCAGATGCCTCAGTTCTTTCTGCTAAACTCAGGTGGCCTATGAGAGTAGAACTCAGAGGAAGAAGGGAGGCTAGTGGACAGTGTAAATATACAGGAGAACACCATTCTCAAAGCACACATCACTATTGTTAAGTGTAAGCAGGATGTGAAGGAGTTCTCCCCGACATCTAGTGATGAATTGGGGAAACAATCTCAGGAGCAGAACGTATTTGCATAGACACAGCTACTCTGCATAGGTGACCAGCAGACAGACCTGCTTTGCCAAAGGGATCAATTTGCTGTTTTAGGTAGAACTTCACTTTACTGTTGAATGCAGGGGTCAAAAAATTTTATCCTTACTGCCCTAATTGAGGAGGTCTCCCTACTTTGAGCCTCACTCACTAACCAGATGGTAGTGATGCCAAACAGGTGTTCCTGGTAGCAGGGACTTGGTTTAAAGGATCCTAGAATCCATTTGATCCTCCTCTTCTAGTGTGTAACAAGAGAGCTCACTAGACTCAGTTTAGAGTCCTGGTTCTCTCTCAGTGATCACAAAGGTGGAAATCCTGGATAAGCTGATCTAAGGCCTGGTATGGAGACAGTACTGTGATGAAAGAACAACACAGAAGAAGAGGTAGCAAAAGAGAGGTTCCCCACTAGCCAGTGAAATCACTAAAAGGCTGAAGTCACTAAGAACTGGACTAAGTGATAGAACCTCAGAGCACAGCATCACTTCTAGAGACAGCAGTGAGGGTGGCAGTGGGGAGCAGAGGCAGCAGCAGCAAGCAATGGGAATGAATGCAGCAGAAACCAAAGAGATAGCAACGAGCAAAGGCAAAGTCTTCACTTAACCATTACCACCTTTCAGGGGCAGAAGGAGAACTCACCTGAAGGCATCCCAGCTCTCTAGAATGTTGCTTCCTCATACAACAAAGTGGGGTGCAGCAGAGGGAAAGGGAAGGGGTGTCATGTTAAAGAGCTATTTGTCCCTTGAACTTTCACACCACTAGGTAGGAAACAGAAGCAAAGGACACTGCCCAGAATACGATGGGGTGGGTATTTTACTTATTGGTTGTGTACTTTCAGATCATTGCTTCAGGGTTTTCCCAAATTAATGCTTGTTTTCTTCTCAGTGC